TATTTATATAACTGTATTAGCCAGATGAGGAAGTTATCGAAAATGAGCTTGTTCGCTATTTCGTGTTTTGTTCTCAAATGTTACAATGGGAATCTTCAAGGAATTATTTGGGATTGAGGACTAGACAGATGGGAAAGACGGGTTTCCAAATGGGTATCTAAGACATTAGGGCACGGCATACTTTGCGGTAGCCTAAATCGACGAAGGGGTTTTTCTTTGGGAGCCGTAAACGGATCCTTTGATTCAAACGTCTGAGCCATAAGGCATTGGAGCGTAAATCCAAAGAGGGAGCGTGAACGAAACACCTGTACGGGAGCTTCTAGAGACCTGTCACACAAGGCCTTGAATTTCGGTTATTGGTATTCTTCCATAGTACCCTGATTTTCGGTCCGCTTTTCGAAATCGGCCCATGGACTCATGCACCCAGGCAGACAAGTGGAACGTGGACGGGACAGCATCTTGGGCGGGCGGTAGCTGTCCGATTAAGTGCGGAAACTTCTCCCACCGTCGAGAGGAAGCTCCAGGTGCCCGCTCTTACGTTCATCTAGTGTGATCTGACTATTGCCTTGTATGCGGAGTAAAGATCACAAGTGTTCGACATGTAAAAATAGACCATAGAATAAACAATATCCCCTAAGGTTAACGGGTGGACACTGATCACAGGTCAGCTCAGTTGATGTTATAAGTCAACAATAATCCCTCANTGTAAAAACTGAACCAAACTGAATACCGAAGAAATAAGCTTGTTTGGGCCACAACGAATGAAAAACCCAAACGCAAGGCGTTGGTGACAACGTTTCGACCCTCTTGGAAGGCCTTTCTCAAGTCGTTTAATCGGTTAATTTCACGTTACAAGCAATAATAAGGCGATGGGAAGATGACACCGTATAGGACTCGGATGTGCTTCGAACATGCGTGTGTGTGTGTGTGTGTTGATCGTTCAACAGGTGGTTGGAGCGAGTGAAATGGGTTTGACCTTTAGGTCAAAACGTGTGAATTGGTAAGTTGGCATTGAGGGTGGGGGCAAGATTACTTTGTATGCACAAGTGTTAATTGTTGCCATAACTGTGGAATGACTGCCCCATCGGATCGATTGATTGCTGTACATTCAGCTTTGATCAGGAGCGCTTCGGCTATCAAACGTTCCTTCTGAACCCACGCTTTAGAATGCGCAGGTTTTTGAAATCAACCGCATGTCCTTTGCGTGATCAGTGGTTGTGGAATTGTGTTCCACTCGATTTCAACCTGCTGCATCATTTGGAATCTTTTTCGTTAGACGCATGTGTTCAGTCATTCGTTTGTCTAGGCTTCTGGACGTTTGGCCGACATACGTAACAGGACAGTCTAGACAATGTATTCTATAGACCACGTCAGAAGTGTCCCCTGTATCCAAAGACTTGTTGTTCAGCGCGCTTTTATGGTCTACCTTAGATACACAAACCAAACATTCCTACTCTTCCTATTGTTGACCACACAAGTACCCCTAATTACAAGCTAGCAAAGTTTCTCACACCTACTTCCGAACCCTCTTGAAGTGTGATGAACATTTTATCAATAATTCATCTCATTTTGTGGAGAAACTCAGAACATTGACTGTCGAACGTGATGAACGCTCAGTGAGTTACAATGTGGTATCCCAAAATGAATGTCCGGACATGATGAGAAGTCGTCTTAACAGCGACCACATTCAGTAATCGAATGAACTTGACAACTGACGAAATAATGAAAGCAACTGAACTATGTCTAAAGTCAACATTATTTGTGTATAACCGTTCATTCTAACTGACTTTGTTGCCATAGAATCATCCATTTCACCGATAATTGCGAACTTGCTCAAGTTCAGGCTGGAAATGACCGATAACTCCCTAAATTTTCTTGATTCCCGTGTGAAAGTACTGAGCTCGGGTAAAGTATCGGTGACGATACACACGAAAGGTACACATATAGGACGGTACCTAAAATGAGATCACGCAAAGGACATGCGGTTGATTTCAAAAACCTGCGCATTCTAAAGCGTGGGTTCAGAAGGAACGTTTGATAGCCGAAGCGCTCCTGATCAAAGCTGAAACCCAACCAGGTCGAAACAGCTGTACAGTGCTTCCCAGCTTTTAAGTTCAAGATTTATTTGAACTATACACGAAGAATTCCATCTCTGAGAATTTAGATTTCAAAAGACTCCATCAAATTTCCGCTAACTCTTTTACGTTCCACGAAGAAGAGCTCAAGGTCCCTTAGGCGCAGTTCTTTGATTCCTCGTTTGACCAGTTACATTTCTAAACATCCTACATCTCTCATGTAATAAGATGCCTATGACTGCACACAATACTCTGTGTGTGGGCGAACAATCGATCTGTATAGTGGAATAAAAACCCCAGGCCGTCTGCATGTGACTGTGGTACACAACCCAAACAGCTGAACCCTAGCCTGATGGGCAGCCTTTGAGCACTGAGTTTGGGTTTAAAGTCTTGGGTCGTAAAGACCACTAGATCTTTAATCTTCGATACCTGCTGCATTGGTCATCCATTTAACGGATATACTCCATCTCTCATTTCTAAGAGCTGGCACTTGCTTGGATTCAAACGTAGGTCCCACTTGACCGACCATCGGTGGACTACCTCTAGGTCACTGCAAGTTTAACCCTATCATTTTGATATCATCAGCCAACATGAAACACGGATTTTGAAGATCCTGTGCCAGATCGTTGATGAATATGAGAAAAAGCAATGGGCCTAGTACTGAGCCTTCGGAAATCCCACTCCTAACCATCTCATGGTTATAGATGTGGTCAACCAAAGGCACGATTGCTCAAAAAGGCTACAATCCAATCCAATGGTCTACCTGTTGTACCTAGACTCCGAACTTTCAAGTCCAACAATCGATGGCCGACAGAGTACAATGCCTTGCAAACTTCAACGTTTTCCTCTTCATCCATACGTTGCGTGACTCCATTTGAGAACACAAGAAGATTTGTAAGACATGATTTCAGTTCAACAAAACCATGTTGTGCCACAGTCAGGAGTCAATTGTTAGTTAGGTACAGGTAAAACTGCTTTTTGATCAGTTGCTCTAGGCATTTAGAATGCATTGACGTTAGATTAACGGGTCTATAGTTTTCTGCTCCGTGTTTCAGTCCAGAGTTGTGCAATAGCAATAATGTAGCTGTACACCAACCCTTGGTAAACTTATCCTTTGGCACTGATTCCCTAAAAATACAATCAGTGGAGCGACTGGAACCCATGCCAGCGGTCGCACAATGGCCGGATAGATTCCACCCGGACCTGCTAACTTGTGCATATTTAATGTTCTGAGTTCTCGATGCACTTCTGTTTAACAGACACTGATTTTGGCGAGCTCTGGCGGATCGGGTAATCTTTCTACCCTCAGATTATTTAGATTGATGTCCTGTATACGCCTATGAAAAACGTAAGTAGTATCTCCGCCTTATCACGGTTACATGTGGCTGTGCTTTCATCAGACAAAACCAATGCTCCCACACTCTTCCGTGTGTGAGTGTGTGCATGGGCTTGCACGTATACGTAGAATCTATTCGGATTCATTTTGAGTCACGCGCCAAGCTATTGTTAATGTGCGGGAGATGACAAACGAGCATTTCTGAAAATAGACTGTGCGGCATCCGTGCTAGTCAACGTAAACTGGACGAATGCCAATGAGTGGCAAGCCCAGCCAGAGAACAACCTCTAACAGTTGACTGCTAAATGGTTATAAAATAACTTAGATCAGAAGTCAAACACAGCGAGAGGAATTCCTTTCGTATACTCTCATCGGTCGAGTACGTATAATACTGAACAAGACGAGCCAGTGGGCCGAATTTGGAAATCTAGTTAGGTTTGCTCGTTTGTGTGTGATGAAAATGATTGGTTACAGTCAGAAAAGGTCAAGGCTTTTTGGACACAACATGGGTTTGTTGTGAGTGATCAATAATGCCTCGAGTATCCTTAGGCGGTGTTTGTCACGATCACGTAACGAAACTGAGAGCACGTTCACAAGCGATCGGTCGGTTCTATCGATGGATGCTTCGCATCAAGACCGAAAGAATACATCAATCGTGAGATGTTAACATTTCCTTGAATCTTCTCAATCGGTGATGTATGTAAGACAAACAAGCACATGTACAGCACATTGAATTTGTAAATCCTGAAAACCAGGGGTCAACTCCACGGAAAGTGAGCTGATTGTGTCAACAAGTTTTCGATACACAGGACGGGATGATGTAATTGGATTAGCAACGCCTCACGTATTGCCGATAGTTTTCCACTGCAGTTACGTAACAACGGTTTGAAAGAGGAAGCTGGATAAATCGTGTTTGGTTGTCTTGATTTGTTTTGCAACTGATTACCCCGGGTTACGTGTGACCGCCTGATTACTCGATGTGGGTTGCGTCATCGACTTCACAGACCTCTTCGGAATGTGTTCGGTCATCCGCTGTGATAACTAACGGTTGGTTCTGCCTATGTATGCGTCGCCCCAACTGCAGGTGAACTGGCATACAGTGTGTGAGACAGAACTGAATTGTCAACCACGTACACGTTTGTCTAAATCGATTGTACTAGTAGAAGCAATAAGTTGAAGCTGAGCAGCTGGGAATGTGCGGTTTAGAGCTCACTTCAGTTTCTGGCGCATATCGTTAAGAAGGTGATCGTTCTTGAACGATAGTTTGATGTAAACACACAAATTAAGTTTATACAATGTACGAATTCACAGAATTCTCGGTAAGTACATATTTCAAATCATATTGTTTGCAGAAACGTGCGCAGAGCCAGTTCGCCTGCAGAGCATACTAATGAGAGATGGTGAACAGCCCTCCAAAGATGTCACTGGGCACATGATACGCACCGACAAAGGTAGCCGTGGGCATTATTATCAAACATTTGACAATAAACAGGAGGAAACATTCTCCACAGAGTCCAGCGATTCTGAGAAATTGTCAGAACAAACCGGAAAAGACGCGGATCCGGAGTTATCGTCATCGGATATTTCGACTCCTCCGGTGATCGATTTTGAAGAGCCAGCAGGTTTAATTGCGAAGGACGCTAGGTATGCATATACAGACACGTAGATCATCAAATTATCAGCTCACTCTTTGAAAGTCCAGTTAACGCCATCAAATCCCCGGCTTGAAACGTCGAAAGAAATGTAAGATAATTCATCTCAAAGTAATATTTCCTCTAAACTTGACATTCACAGCGGAAGAGTTGCGGGACCGTCCACAAAGACGATAAACAACACACGAATGCTCTCCATGTTTGTGCAACAGCATGTCGTCATGTGTGAAAACAGAAAATCTATTTCAGGTAGTTAATGAAATGTTTTCATCTTCTTAAGCATGTTAAGATAGGATTTTGAATGAAATGCCACATATAAGACATGACATCATTCCTGTGTCAACGTACATATAACCAAATCTGGAAGCATCAGTATATTTCCAGTGGATGATCCCATCAAAACTGTGGACGCTTACAAAGCACTACTAACAAAACTGGAAGACAACGATGTCTATTTGAACAATTACACTAATTGACCTTCGGTCACCTACCCTATTTGCCTACTCGCTGTTGGTTTCGCTCAACTGGCCAGGTGTGGACGGCAAATTGGCATTGGTCGGTACAAGACTATGCCAACTGATAATCGGTACATTTCGTGTACGCATACTTAACCGACTAAAACAGATGCTATTATGAAAAAAATTATCCAGATGTGAATTCTGTAATCCCGGTCGGCAAAATCCAAAGATGGATTCAACGTACGCGACCAAAAGAACAACATGATAACCGGAACAACAGGTCAGTGGTAAGTATTTATAGTTGTGAAATTTAATGCTGTCATCCGGAACGCAAACAAAGTATATATATATATACTTTGTTTGCGTT